AAAACGGCCTCGAGCTCAATATAAATTGTTGAATATAATTGTTATAAAGGCCAAAAAAATAACAAAAACAAATAACTTAAGGAACAGCACACCTAAAATTTAAACATTCTAAAAATTTAATTATTAGCAAAAACCAACAATACCAACAACCACATGATCAAGTGAATTGCAGCGGAATAGCTGCGCTTGATTGTGTTGGCATAACAAAAATTAAAATAGTGGAAAAAAGCAAACGATAATTTACAAGGCGTACTTAGCACGGTGCATAGGCAACTGGCTGAGTCAGTGGGATCGTCGGTTCGAATCCTACTGAAAGAAGTCTGATGAGGAAATGTGGTGATTTTTGAAATAGCTATCCTGTCTTTCTAGGTGGATTAATAACACGCCTACCTTTACTTTCTCGGCTATCCACAGAGTGTGGAGGGTTGTCGAGACATGTAAAACACCTAAACCTTTTTTCGTAATGCTTAGATTTCTCAACAAGCACCGACAGATCTTTCCCAATCTCAGAAAAACCATTTCTGGACTGCCTAAAAATTTAAATAAATCAACTTTGGTTGATCTACATTTTTGACAACACCAACGAAGACGCTTTCCTTCGTTAATAGCGTCTAACACCCTACCGCTCAAACCAGCACATTTTATATGGGCAATCCCATCGCAGAGCCAGCATGACACATAGGAGTCGCTTTTAACTTGGCAATTGGTGTAAATACACGACATGTTTAAAATTATATTTATTTTTAGGTTTTAGAAGCAAAAAAGGAAAACAGTTTTGAAAACGATGTATCAAACAGAGAACCAATCAGCTGGTTAATATCAGTTGGAAAGCTATGTAGCGAACAGTTTTAAATGCACTTGTAGGGTTTGTATTTGTGTTACTGTCGTTTATTGTACTGTGATAATTTCAACTTTGTAATTTAAAAGATTTTGTATTTAAGTGATTTTGTAGTTCAAACATCAAAGAGAAAATTAGCTTACTTCAAATATTTTTCTTGAGCTGTAAACAACATAATTTCATTTGGAATTTTAAATTAAACCTTTTTTAAATAAATTTATATATTGTTAACTACAATTGGCGATCCTGCCAGGAGCGGCAATAACTGTAGTTCAAAGCAAAATAAAAAAGTTTTAAGAGTGCTGTAAGCTCACGACATTTACGGTCAGCAACCATTTTCTCTGTTGTGGATATAGTTCTACTAAGAAACAGTGTAACAGAATTAAATTGGCTATAACACGAAAGAACACTAGAGTTGCGAGGACATGTTTAGTGTGATCGCAAGAACGGTTAAGTGTAGTCTACAGCCGAATCCGTTAATAGTTAATCGCTCTCTGCATTGACGGAGAGGCAAGACGACAGCACTACAATTTGCGAGTACGGCGCCAACTATAACAACAACCACAATAGCAGCAACAGCCGCAGCAGCGGTCTCAACTAAAACGCGTCGCAACAGTTTCGTCAGTGGTAGCTAGAGCAGTTCTAATAAACCTCATCAGCTACATCAACAGAAATCAGTTCACACATCAGCGTTAACGTCAAGCGTGCACATACCAAAAATCGCTCCCCAGCAATTGGTCGTGGTTACCTGCATCCTTCATACAACCGGAGAAAATCTCTTGTCTACTTTGTGTCTGTTCATTACTGACAACAATAACAACGGAAACAAGCTGCAGCAACAAGAACGGCAAAAAGTAGCAGCAATCAACACCGGCGATAAGCAGCAGCAACAACGACACCAAATCACAGCAACCGGCACAGCAGTTGCAGCAACTATCAGGTCGACTGTGCTGCTAATATCAGCAGTTTCAGAGCACAGTGGTGAGCTGTATCTTTGTATGTAATATTTTTGACAAATATATTTTTAATATCATATCTTCTTTTTAATTTGTTTCGGATAAATTGTAAACACTCCTTATAGAGATTGTTTTATGTTATCATAATGTTTCGTTCACCCCCACATGATACACACACATCTACAGGGACTAATAATTTAAATGACTCGCTTATAGATTTGCAAAACAACTCTTTTCAAGAGGAGTTGGCAAATACGAAGGACCTTATAAGGTTGTTGAAAGACACAAAAAATATTTCAAACTTGAAGTAGATAATGAGGTTAAAACAATTCCGATAGACAGACTAAAACCAGCAATCATTGAAACAGAACTAATACCAGAAACAAACACTAATACAATGAATAACACAACATCAAATAAGAAACGAGTTACTTTTAATTTATATAACATTAATTCTCTAGAAGGGGGAGTATTGTAGGGTTTGTGTTTGTGTTACTGTCGTTTATTGTACTGTGTTAATTTTAACTTTGTAGTTTAAAAAATTTTATATTTAAGTGATTTTGTAGTTCAAACATCAAAGAAAAAATTAGCTTACTTCAAATATTTTTCTTGAGCTGTAAACAACATAATTTCATTTGGAATTTTAAATTAAACCTTTTTTTAAATAAATTTATATATCGTTAACTACAGCACTGTATATTTGACACCTAGTAAACACAACACAAACAGCTGTGACAAAGATGAAACAGCAGAAATGACAAAAAGAGCAAGATCAGTGTACAGAAACAAAAACAATTGTACAACAACAATATATTATATGAAACAAAATACTCGGCACATGCAATTAAGAATATCAAGTTAAATTAATCAAATTTACAGGAAATTTTGATATTTTACTGATCTTTAAATTATGCACCAGAAGTTTATTAACACTTTTTTTAATTTTTTACTTTATTAAGCGTAAACAGCTTCATAAAACACAAAATTTAATTAAGCAGATCACAAAAAACACAGCTCCACAGTATTGACGTTTGCGCGTTGTATATGTTTGCGGCCGGCCTGGTTAACGTACATATAAGCATTTTTAAGTAAGCGGATTTTCTTTTACACCCTTCCATACATGATGCCCTCTCTTGAGGAAGTATAGGCAGGGAAGGAGATTATGGGAGCCGTTTCGTAGGTGCTGTTATCTATGTGTTCAAGGCGAAGTAAAAGCCCTCTAGAACTCCCGAGTGTTACCACCCGGTTTCCTAATAGCCGAACACCTTCACTCGAAGGAAGGGCCGCAACAGGTATCTTGTACTTCCTGGTAAACAAGGTCAGTTCTGTCTTGCTGAGACTTACTGCGAGGCCGCCGTTGATCGCCCACCTACTTACGTGGTTCAGGCAACCTTGAGCCAGATCAAAAAGGATATCTAGAAATTGTCCCTTAACCAAAAGTTCCACATCTCCTACATAGACGATCACCTGGCAGCCCACTTTTTCCAGTTCCTATAGAAGATACGCTCTTTAAAATATATTTATGCAAGTTTTATGTACAGTATGTAATAAATAAATAAACGTTTTAAAGTTCATAAACTGCACTGTATTTACATAAGATTAACAGAACACTTTTAACCGACTTCAAAAAAAGGGGAGGATATCAATTCGCCGGAATACATAACTTTGGACCACGTGAACCGATTTCAATAATCGTTTTTTTTTATTGGAAAGGTGGTACCTCAAGTTCGTCCCGTAATTTGGTTTAGAGATCCGATGATTGGATAATGAAGCAATTAACGGTACCCCTAAATTTGAATATAAGAATTGAAGTCGGTTGTGTTCTTTCCTTAAAAACTACTTGTTTAATAAAAAGTTCTATAAACTCAAGATGCGCTCAACTTTCAAAAGTACCTAATAAAAAATATTAAAAATGACTCATTAAAAATAAATTTATTGATTCCATGAATTTTTGCACTTTTATGTTCCTTTTTCCGATTTCTGGCTTTCGATAGAGATGGTGATTTTTCACGATTTATAAATTTTTTTAATATTTCGAATACCGAAAAAATTAACTGAACTCTCAAGAAAAACGAAAAATTCATATAAAACGACGGACGAGAAATGGAAAAGTAATTTTCTTCTACCAAAATTTCTTAAATCAGTTTGCAGCTCTCAAGAAAAAAATGCTCGTATATTCATTTCCTCATGAAAATTTACAGCAAAAGCAAAGCGCTTTTTCAAGCAACAGAAATTATAATAAATATTTCTTATAATTCCTTTAGAGCTGGATTCTTAGCTTAAAGATACAGTTTGCATTTGGGGTCATTAGCTTTATGGGGGGTTTGAACCCCAAAACCCACCCCTTGTGTGCGCTAGTGTAATTACCTTTATCATATATCGTCTTTAGACACGAATATCGTCTTTAGACACGAATAAAGACGCAAGCTCAAAAGTTGACCGCGAAAAAAGAGGCATAAAAAAGGCAGCGAAGAAAGACTCTGCAAAGTTGACGGCACAGAAAGACGCGAAAACTTACTTTAGTGGGTGTAACAGTATGNTTTAGACACGAATATCGTCTTTAGACACGAATAAAGACGCAAGCTCAAAAAAAGAGGCATAAAAAAGGCAGCGAAGAAAGACTCTGCAAAGTTGACGGCACAGAAAGACGCGAAAACTTAGTTAAGTGGGTGTAACAGTATATAAATTTCCCAGAGAGTTTTTGGGGCATGCTGCTTAAGTGACAGTCCTTGACCAGGTATAAATTTACGTTTACGCGTCTTTGTTCGTAGTCAACTAGGATACCCGTCTTTCCTCGCCGTAGTTTTTCTTAAGCGTATTTTTTCTTAATTTTTTTTAAGCGTATTTTTTCGCCGTCAAAACATTAGTGCGCCTCTATTCGTGTCTAGTGACGATATAGACTAATACTCGTGTTTTGTTCTATTTTCAGCGATCTCTCTCGGAATTTCTTTTCGACACTACACAAGGACACTTTTCGCGGTTTAACACTGCTGAAAGAACTTGATCTCTCTAACAATATTCTTAATTTTATACCAGCTGAGCTATTCAAGGATTTGGATAGCCTTATCCAATTGTAAGTAAGTTTGCTTATTATTGGCATTTATTGCATTAACTCTTGTAAATGTTCATATCGCAAGACGTCTTCAAAATAACCAGCTGGAAAATTTGAATACGGTAACATTCTGGAAGCTTCGCAATCTGAACTTAATAGATGTTAGCAAAAATATAATATCCGAAATACCAATAAATTTATTTTGCAACGTTCAACGATTGATTGTTATCAATTTTAGTGATAATAGAATAAAGCATTTTCCGCCTGGTTTGCTTCGGGAACAATTAGTCTTAGAAGATTTGGACATGTCACGGAATGAAATTCTTGAATTAAAGTCTGGAAGCTTAAGGAATTTGAAAGGATTAAAAATTATCGACTTTTCATACAACTCTATTTGTAAGTACCCTTATGTGTCATTTATGTAATGTATACTTGTATGTTGATGTGGGTTGAGTTTTCCGACTGGGTGGGAGGATGATTTATTTTGCAACGAATTTCCGTCATCCCCTGTGTTTAGTTGGCACCAGTGATGGATCAAAATTTAAAGTTCTGCTCAGCGTAGAGACTTCATCTTAAAGTCGTCTTAAATCTAAAGAAACTGGCTTAACATTTGTTCATGTAAGATGGTCAAGATTGTGCTAAAGCTAACTTAGCTATTAACAGTTGAACTTTTTGAAGTTGATTTGAATAGTGAAGACCAGTAAATTAGGGATTTAAAATTATACCATCGTAATCCTTGTTTGATTCTCTATAAAAAACGTGGTTTAAAAAGATGGGAGTTTTTCAAGAACCATTTTTAAAATATTTTTCTTTATGGCAAGATGGTTTATTTTATGAGAATCAACAATTTTTTGTAATTTGTTTTCGAAAACTTATGTTGAGATATATTTAGTAAGGTGTTAAACATAGAGTTTTTGCAAGAATTTAAATTTTATTGCAGACTCCGATAGAATGCCTATCCAGGTATAATATTTGTACGGCACCATTTTTTTTAAGGCGAAAAACCCCTAGAAATGGGCTTGGCAATCGTTTTTTATAAAAAAACGTTTAAAATAGAGTTTGGAATAATAGTTCCTTCTTTGCACAGATTTTTTGTTTTTATGCATCAGATCGAAAAACATGTATTTCTTTATTTGAATCCCTAAGAAACACAGTGATGACAATTTTAGTCAGAAAGAAGAAAGTTGACGAGTTGATTTTTTGCAAACAAAGACGAAATTCGATTTTTTTCTGGAAAAATTCGATTTTATCCGAATTTTAGCAACACAAAGTTCGATTTCAAAAATTCGCCATTTCGGAGCTAAAATTCGATTAAAATTCGAAAATCGAAGCTTCGAATATCGAATTTACCCCTCCCTACTAGTTAATATTTGATGCTATTTTTTTCAGAATATAGAAAGTCTTTGCACTGTATTATGTCCACTAACAATACAGTACGAAGCTACTTTAAATACTGCTACCTTACCCACCAAAAACTAAAAATTGAAAAAAATTTACACAGCGCACTTTGCAAGTGGACTACTCATTTCAACAAATGTGAGCTGAGCCAGAAATTAAAATTTATAAATATTGTAATTCGATTTAAGAGAATCATTAAGAATTATGAGTTAAACTAGGGATTTTTTGATGTGTATGCATCTTTGGTTTCGGTAGGGGTAAAATTTGCGAAGCTGTAGCGCATAGCTCAGCAGAAAATTTCGAAGGGCTTAGCATGTGTATTTCAGCAGAAAATTCAGTACAATTGATTATTACTTCTGATTATGCAAACTCCGAACATGTATACGGCTTTTTACCTATATGTATACATACTTAAGTTTGTATGTACATACATATGTATGAACTCATTTATTGCAACTGGTTTTCATATTCGTAGATGGTTTTAGGCATAGGTTTAGTAGCCTATTTTGATAAAAAAGCAAGGCGAAAATTAAAAAAAATACTAAAATTAGGACCGTTGATAACTGATGAACATACATGAATATATGTACGTATAATACATGGTGGAATAAAAACAAGGTGTTGTCAGTAGCGACGTGTTTGTTGTAATTTTGACAAGATCGGCATGCTTATTTTCAGTGGAGCCGATCTTAATTTTTATACTACTATTCGTTGGGAAATAGTATCTAAAATAACCAATTTTAGTAATCGTTTTATGGCGATTTTTAAATAACTTGGTGTTTTCTAAACGATATTAATATCTAAAATTGCTGGATTTGTATAATTTTTGTCCTCAAAATGTAAAAAAATAAAATATGTCGTCGTTATCAATGGAAAAAGACGTACACAGAAATCGTATGGAAAGGCGATTTTTTATATTAAATATGGACTACTGATACACTAGAATATAGTGGCAGCATGGTTAAATTACGATTTCGCTTATATTATCGATATTTAGTCTTATAGAAAATTGCCTTATTTTACTGCCTTTACTTTTGATGTGTATACATCTTTGGTTTCGGTAGGGGTAAAATTAGCGAAGCTGTAACGCATAGTCCAGCAGCAAATTTCGAAGGGCTTTTTTTATTTTATTTTTTTTTTCTGGGATGACGCCCGTGAAGAGGGAACTCTCATGAGTACTACTATACCGGCATAGTAGTATGCACGACTTGCAGCCTCACAGCTACACCTGCATACTAAAACCTCTCCACTAACCACTCTCCCCGCGGCACTGCCATTTAAGGTATTACCTCACGGGGCTGGTTGGCCAGCAGGCTCGCTACGTTATTTAACCGGTTCTAGCTTGTTCAGATCGCCTTAGATCTTTAAGAATTCCAGAGATATGTGCGCACACTTTATGCCAGTTCTCTGCTGATTTTAACACGTAGTCTACAATGTTGNTAACATGTAGTCTACAATGTTGCTACCCTGTAGTATATTTCGGGTTTCAGGGGCATAGCGAGGGCAAAAGAATACTATGTGTTCCGCGTTTTCAGCAAGGCCTGTGCAAGTCGGACAGTGTGGGGAATCTCCATGCCCAAATCTTTTTAGATACTCTCGGTAGGGGCCATGTCCCGAAAGAAACTGTGTCAAGTAGTAGTTTAAATCTCCGTCGGCTCTTTCCAGCCAGTTCTTAATGCATGGAATAAGCTTATCAGTCCACCTACCCTCTTCCGATTCACCCCAACGCTTTTGCCAGATCTCCATAGAGCGACATCTTTCCTGCTCTACAACTTCTTTGCGGTTTAAACTGGTACTTCCCGCAGATACCCGCTTATACACTCTTTGCATCTCGTTTGCCAGGATATCTACGGGAATCAGTCCGGCAATTACGAAGGATGCTTCGTCAGATATGGTTCGGAATCCACAAATAGTCCTTAGTGCGCTTAGGCGATACACAGATGTGAGTATCTTCGCATGATATTTTAGGCTCATTGCTTCAGCCCAAATTGGAGCACCGTAGAGTAAGACTGAGCTGACCACTCTACTAAGCAATACCCTTCTACTATGTTTGGGACCGCCGATATTTGGCATCATTCTAGATAAGCATGCCTGTAAATTCGATGCTTTCTTTGCTGCATACTCCAGGTGGACCTTAAAGTTTAAACGGCCATCAATCATTACCCCCAAATATTTGATTGCGGGCTTTGATATTATAGTTTCCGATCCAACACCGAGTCTTATTGTCTCNTAAGCATGCCTGTAAATTCGATGCTTTCTTTGCTGCATACTCCAGGTGGACCTTAAAGTTTAAACGGCCATCAATCATTACCCCCAAATATTTGATTGCGGGCTTTGATATTATAGTTTCTGATCCAACACTGAGTCTTATTGTCTCTATGGCCTTTCTGCTACTTATCAATACTGCCTCTGTTTTGTGATCAGCGAGTTCTAGATATCTTGATGATAGCCATGCCTTCACTCTCTTTATAGCTTCGCTGGCTTTCCTTTCAATATTCTGTTTATGCTTCGCTACTACTGCTATGTCGTCTGCGAATCCTATTATTTTTGTCCGAGGAGGCAAATCGATGCATAGAACCTCGTCGTGCATTAAGTTCCACAGGAGAGGCCCGAGAACGGATCCTTGGGGTACCCCCGCGGAAACACTGTACGCCTCTATTCCTCTGTCGCTCCGGTACTTTAGTTCCCGTTCGGAGAGATAGCACCTAATTATTCTGATAATGTAATTCGGGGCCTCCATTTTTATTTGGGTTTCCATTATGTGCTGTCAGCTTGCAGTTTTAAATGCGTTTTTCACATCTAGCGTTATAACAGTATTCCTTTTTACCTCCATGCCACCTTTTCCCTTCGATGGCCTCTTTGGCTATGTCAACCACTGATTTAACAGCATCTATTGTTGAACGAGATTTCCTGAAGCCAAACTGGTGTGGCGACAGAAAGCGTCTCTCTTCTGCGATCGAT